ATTATTATTTATCAACATGTTATCTAATATCTATTTACCTGTATCCTCTCTGGCTTGTGGTGGTTGGTATTTAGTTAGCACTGGAGGGGGTTTATACAGTTTTCTTTTGGGTCTAAAAACAAAGATTTGATTTGGTTAGTTTTGGTTTTGTTTGGCTATAGGTTGGGTTAGTTTGTTATGGTTTAAAGTTTGTCGGGCTTGTTCTAGTTTGGTTTGGTTGGAACAGTTTGGTTTGGTTTAAGTAAGTTTGGTATAAGAAGGGGTTTGATTAGTGTTTTTTTGTGTCGGCGTTGTTTGGTTTATTTGGATGGTTGGTGTGATGTGGTTTGATCTGATTTGGTTTGGTTACTTTGGTTTGGTTTAAATGAGTTTGTTATAAGTAGGGTTTTGATAAGGGTTTGTTTTGCCTAGGTTGTTTGGTTTATTCGGATTGTTTGGTTGGGTTAGTTTGGTTTGGTTTAATTGAGTTTGGTATAAGGAGGGTTTGTTTTGCCTCGGTTGTGTGGTTTGATTTGGTCATCAGGGTTTATATAGCGTAGTTTGCTTTGGTTTAGTTTAAATTTGTTTGATTTTGTTTTCTGGTTGAATTAGTCGATTGGTTTAGTTTCTAGTCGAGGTTTGTTGAGTAGATTTGGTCAGGTTCCTTCATGTTTGGTTAAGCTGGGTTAGATTTGGTCAGGTTGCTTCATGTTTGGTTAAGCTCGGTTAGATTTGGTCAGGTTATTTCCTGTTTGGTTAAGCTGGGTTAGATTTGTTCAGGTTCCTTCATGTTTGGTTAAGCTGGGTTAGATTTGGTCAGGTTCCTTCATGTTTGGTTAAGCTGGGTTAGATTTGATCAGGTTGCTTCTTGTTTGGTTAAGCTGGGTTAGATTTGGTCAGGTTGCTTCTTGTTTGGTTAAGCTGGGTTAGATTTTGACATCTTTAAATCAATTGTATACATAAAAAAATAGTAATGTGTTTGTTTGTTTGTTTGAATGTTCAAAAACACTTTGACCGATTTGCCTCAAATTTTTTTTGGAGGACTCGGGAGAACCACGGGAATGTTCTTAGCTTTGTTTTGAGATTCTAAATTAATGGGGTCTCCACTTTTTATACGGAAAAATGGCAAAAATCTTTACTTAATTTCCCGATAAAATCGACCAAGCGCGGGTAAACGGCGAGTACCTGGACAACGCAAGGTTAGTTTTAAATATTATTTTTGTTTAAATATTATTTTTGTTTAAATATTATTTTTGTTTAAATATTATTTTTGTTTAAATATTACCTGAATTGCGGAGCCTCAGATGTTCCCAGATTAACAAATTGTTTTATTCTCGGGCCCCCGCTAATCTCTAAACAAATCAACAAAGTATCAAAAGAGGAATATCAAAACTGTTCTTACATAATATATGAACCCTCTCTTTAATTTTACTGTTCTAACCTAATACATGAACAGCACCTTCAATGAACTAAATTAACACTGAACGGTCCCTAGAATATACTAACCTAATACACGAACAGTCCCTTGAATATACTAACCTAATACATGAACAGCCCTTGAATATACTAACCTAATACATAAACAGTCCCTTGAATATATTATCCTAATACATGAACAGTCCCTTGAATATACTAACCTAATACATGAATAGTCCCTTGAATATACTAACCTAATGGTATATGATGAATAGTTGGTTTGGATTTATTGGAATTAAACTTCTCCTCGTCTATCTCCAGCTTGAGGAAGGGATCAACAGAAAACGGATTCCCAAAATACTTCTCAGAGTCCTGGACATAGATAGATAGATAGATAGATAGATAGATATATATAGATAGATAGATAGATAGATAGATAGATAGATAGATCGATAGATAGATAAATAGATAGATAGATAGATAGATAGATAGATAGATAGAATTCAACACCCTTAGCTCCAGTTGGAACAAAACTCTTTTTGCCAATTTTTCTGTTTACTGAAGAAAATTTTTTTTATATTAAATCAACTAAGGATTCACTAATATATAAATGTAATGATCGATAGTTTGCTTGGGAGAAAAATTAAATTAACCTCTAATAGAAAAAAAACTAAAAAATGAATTATGGGCGATAATAAAAATTTTACCTTGAAAAAGTTTTCAAAAGAAGGTACATTAACTTCAGGCTCAGAATTGACCACTTCAATCCCTCCTGGAACTAAAATAGGAATTAGGTCGGTTAAAGGGAATAAAAACATTATTTTAAGCGACCCGCGAATATAGCAATATTCAGAATAAATACTCAGAATTTTTGTGAAAAAATAAAAAATTCCAAAATAATAACATTTAAATTCTTTGTTGTTGTTAATTCTTAAAAGATTTATTAAGCTTTGAATGTAAAGATTAACATCGCAGCTTCTCTCAACTCGACAGTCGACAGAATAAGTATAAAAACTTAACTTTAAGTTTTTCGTGTGAAATTTGATTGCAATAGCTCTCAGATTTGCATGTTTTCAAAATTATTTCAATATTATTTCTGCTCAAAAGTGGATTGATAATAAAGCATTTTCTTTTGATCAAATTTGATTTAAGATAAGAAAAAAATCATAAATGTTTCGGATCGTTTTTCGGTTTGTTAGAAAAATATTCCTGACTTTCCGCAGGCCCCTACAAAATCTGAGAAAGTTCTTAGATTTCACAAGTGCGTTGCGTGCTAATAAAGTTAAATTTTTTTACACTCTTGGGAACTATGAATTTAATTTGTGAATTTAACTGAAAATTGAACTGAAACTTTAACTGGGAATTTAACTGGGAATTTAACTGGAAATTGAACTGGGAGTTTAAACGGGAATTTAACTGGAAATTGAACTGGGAGTTTAACTGTAAATTTAACTTGAAATTTAACTGGGAGTTTAACCTTGAGAATTTAACTGGAAATTGAACTGGGAGTTTAACTGGAAATTGAACTGGGAGTTTAACTGGGAATTTTACTGGAAATTGAACTGGGAGTTTAAATGGGAATTTAAGCAGGAATCAACTTGGGGATTTAACTTGGAATAAACCTGGGAATTTATCTGAAAACTGAGTAAAAGGTTCAGTAGGCTCCTCTCTAAAAATATCACTCACAGCCCTAGAATTAAATAAATATGCTCGAAACAAAAACTTCTCTTTATGTAGTTTTATTTTAATAAAAAATTTAGTGAATTTAGTGAAAAAAGCAAAGGGGTATAGGCTGATCCCGAATTGAATTTGGTTTATCACTACTACTGAAGAGAGTATAACCCATATAAATTCATGAATTCTTTTAACTTTAATAATTTATTTTATTCTCTTCTGAGGTCGGTAAGCAACTGATAAATGTCAAATTCAATTCAGGGAACTCCTATGTAGTTTAAATATCATAATTCTTTTCTATTTAATAATGTTTGATGCACTTGGGATGACAATTTTTTGGCCACTAGGGGAAATCCTTGAAAAATCAAGAGCTAGAGACGGCCAAATAAAATATAATTGATTGATTGATTATAAAAGTGACCTGTCGGGAAAGACTGAGCTGACCGGATGGTTTGGGTAAACAAGGCTGACCGGGCGCTGGTCCTGAGAAACCCTGGTTCTTGGGACACCCCTGATTAGCCCTTTTGGAGGCATTGCAAGGGGATCAATGGCGGGCTCTCTAGGGGAGGAAAATCTGCCTGGAGGTGGCAAAACAATACTGGTTCCTCCAAATCTGAAAAAAATCTAAATTGACACCTCCAACTCTAAAAGATACAGGATAACTGTTTTTTTTTTGGCAAGTTCAAGTTTATGACTGCAGGAAGCCATAGATACAAGAAAACAGCTGAATAAATTACCTGCACTTGTTTTTAAGTCTCATCCATTGGGAATTACCTTTTATACTTGAAATAGGTGAACAATCCCTTTAAATAGTTTTACTACCTGACTTCTCCAGGTCTTCTAACAATCCTCTCAGCCTCTTCATCTTCAATCGCCTTCTCCGCCTCCTTGAACACTATATCTGCCTCCGCCTCTGCTACAGGGATCTCAGCAGATACAGGGCGGGTTATCAGGGGTCTAAACAGATATAACGGTGTCAGATGAATGAGTTAAATTTGCTTTTTGTAACCCGATAATAAATTGGTTCTCACATAATTTAATATTTTTGACTGAAGTAATGGAATTTATTGAAACAATTATTGAAACCAAAAATTTGTTATTCAAACCAAAAAATATGTTATTAAAACAGGAATTTTGGTTAAAAAATATTTAAAATTACTAAGCTTCTGTAATGTAATTTAAAAAATTATAAAAAATTATATGATACATAATATGGTATATTTATAAATGAAAATGACGTTATTTTCACGTTTAAACAACACTGATTGGCAAACAGGAAACTATTCTTTTTGAATAACTGTGGTTCTTTTATTTCCAGAAAATATAATTTCTATCTAAAACTTTTAAAGTTTAAAGTATTTATTATTTAGGAGCAGAGATAGAAATGTAGACATGTCCCATTTTGAGAAAATAAAAGTGTCAAAAAGAGATAGAATTTTTCAAAGTTTGAAGCTTAACAAATTAAAATTTTATAAAATTTTATTTCTTATAGACTTTCTAGAAGAAAAATATCAGTATTTGAAGTTTTCAATAACAAAACAATATAAATATCAGTATTTGAAGTTTTCAACAACAAAACAATATAAATATCAGTATTTGAAGTTTTCAACAACAAAACAATATAAATATCAGTATTTGAAGTTTTCAACAACAAAACAATATAAATATCATTATTTGGAGTTTTCAACAAGAAAACAATATAAATATCAGTATTTGAAGTTTTCAACAACAAAACAACATAAATATCAGTATTTGAAGTTTTCAACAACAAAACAATATAAATATCATTATTTGGAGTTTTCAACAACAAAACAATATAAATATCAGTATTTGAAGTTTTCAACAACAAAACAATATAAATATCATTATTTGGAGTTTTCAACAAGAAACAATATAAATATCAGTTTTTGAAGTTTTCAACAACAAAAAACATAAATATCAGTATTTGAAGTTTTCAACAACAAAACAATATAAATATCAGTATTTGAAGTTTTTAACAACAAAACAATATAAATATCAGTATTTAAAGTTTTCAATAACAAACCAATATGAATATCACTATTTGAAGTTTTTAACAACAAAACAATATAAATTTCAGTATTTGGAGTTTTTAACAAAAAAAACAATATAAATATCAGTATTTGGAGTTTTCAACAACAAAACAATATAGATATCAGTATTTGGAGTTTTCAACAACAAAGCAACATAAATATTTATATTTGAAGTTTTCAACAACAAAAAAAATATAAATATCGTTTTCTTTAGAAAACGTTGCCAATCTGATGAAGCAATGATAAAACGAAGCAAGTCATTAACCTCATTTATTCAAAATAAATTGTTCATTTATTTAAAAATACAAGTAACATTTCAATTTTATTCTAATTAGTTTCTTTAATCTTGAATTCATTAAATAATTCCCTTCATTATTAATTTAGAGAACAGTCCCATTCATCTTCAATTTAGTGAACAGTCCCATTCATATTCAATTTAGTAAACAGTCCCATTCATATTCAATTTAGTGAACAGTCCCATTCATCTTCAATTTAGTGAACAGTCCTTTTTATCTCCAATTTAGTGAACAGTCCCATTCATCTTCGATTTAGTTAGCAGTCCCTTTAATCTTTAATTTAGAGAATAGTCCCCTTAATGATCAATTTGGTGAGTATTCCCTTTAATACCTGTCATCATGTTGTCCGTAGTTATTCATATTCAATTTAGTGAACAGTCCCATTCATATTCAATTTAGTGAACAGTCCCATTCATATTCAATTTAGTAAACAGTCCCATTCATATTCAAGTCAGTGAACAGTCCCATTCATCTTCAATTTAGTAAACAGTCCTTTTTATCTCCAAATTAGTGAACAGTCCCATTCATCTTCAATTTAGTTAGCAGTCCCTTTAATCTTTAATTTAGAGAATAGTCCCTTTAATACCTGTCATCATGTTGTCCGTAGTTGTTGTAGTAGCTCACTCCTTTTACACTCTCATCGTTAAAATCATTCTAAAGAGAACAGTCTCATTAATAATATTATTCTAGAGAGAACAGTCTCTTTATTAATATTATTCTAGAGAAAACAGTCTCTTTATTAATATTATTCTAGAGAGAACAGTCTCTTTATTAATATTATTCTAGAGAGAAAAGTCTTTTTATTAATAATATTCTGGAGAGAACAGTCTCTTTATTGATATTATTCTAGAGAGAACAGTCTCTTTATGAATATTATTCTAGAGAGAACAGTCTCTATATTGATATTATTCTAGAGAAAACAGTCTCTTTATTAATATTATTCTAGAGAGAATAGTATCTTTATTGATATTATTCTAAAGAGAACAAACAGTCTCTAATGTTTCAAAATTTAAGCTGGTGCCAAATTGAAACCAGACTCAGGGTGTCCAGACTGGTGTTCACGGGTTCGATTCCCGTACTCCACACAAACCTGTGGTTTCAAAAACATCTGAAGCCGACATCTGGTTTAGCAGTTATGACCACCTGACGGATGTAGGAGGACAGAGGGGCGGCTGTCAACAACTCTCGCAGCGAAAGGGTGCGTGCTTTCTGCTCAACAAGAAAGAA